GTGCCACAGTGTGCCACAGTGTGCCACAGTGTGCCACAGTGTGCCACAGTGTGCCACAGTGTGCCACAGTGTGCCACAGTGTGCCACAGTGTGCCACAGTGTGCCACAGTGCCAGATATTTTGGCGGGCGCCTTTGCATGTCGTTTGGCCAAGCTTCCAAGGTCTGAGCCGTTTGCAGGGCTATCTTGCTGCCAGAGGCCACCAAACTCAGCTACTCAGCGACTCCGCATAAATCAATCAGAGTTTACCTTGGTCATTGGTCCCTGCATTTTCTTTGCAGGGTTTACCTTGAACAATGCTTTCGTTCTCTACGACACACACATGGAGCAGGCTTTTACCCGGGTCTGCAACAGTAAATGGGCTGCCTGTGTTGTGCCACTGCATGCTGTGCTCTGTTGCAGGCAGTGACGCAAGAAGGTCATGCCCCATATGCATGATGACAAGCTTGTCACAGATTCAAGGGCAAAGCAATGCCAAGGCTTTGTGTCTGCCATTGAACACCATGGGTTCCCACTCTCAAGGGCGGAGGCACATGAAAACGTCAAGCTGGCTGTAGATTATATAAGCACTGGCTTTTGCAGATGAAGCTGCTTTGAGCGCTCCATATGGCTGAGGCTGAGGCGATTTTCAATCGTTTGGCTCGCAGAAAGTCGAACCAGGTTTTAGCCTTGTACTTCGAGGACCGCCAAATGGATGCTTCAAATTTAGATGCTTGTGGGTTGAGTCACAGGACCTGCAAAGCTGTATGGCGAGCTTGCCCAATCCGTTGCCTCAGGCCCGTACTTGGTAGGCCAATCGAAGTGTCCTTCTAAAGCCATGCAACACCAGGTGCAGTGGGTGTGGATCTTGGAACCAAGCAGTCATTGAGAAGGGCTGGGTTAGTTCGTGGTCAGACTTCTCCCACAGGGAGTGAATGCGTTTGCATTGTAAGGGAAAGGACTTGATCAAGTCTGTCGATAAGATCACCAGGGGGCAAGGACAGAGTCTTGTTCGGCTGGAGCTGTGGCACCCGATCAGTGTAAATTGCTGGCTGATGTCAAACAGCACGCAAGAAATTGCAAACACAGAAGAAACAAATGCCATGTCACGCACTATTTGTTTGTGATTTGCGATGTTTTTTTGCACTCGTATGACACATGTCTACTGCACTAATTGATTGGCCCATGTTGGTCCTGGTCTTGTTCCACTTTGACTTGCAAAAACATGTTTCCCTTGTAGGATCGATACTGGGATGATGGATCAGCGAAGCATAATATACTCTTTGGCCTCGAGAAGGATACATGTAGCATTGTGCCACCACGAAGACTATGAAGATATGTATTCCATGTTATTCCTTCGGCAAAGATGGCCGTGCCGGCAGCATGCTTTTGAGAAAGACACTTGCTAAGAAAAATCTGCCCAAGAACGATCTCCATGAATTTGCCTGAGAGGCAATGGCAACATCGCAAGTCCACTAATAAGCCTTGTGTCTTTACAAGACAATGCTGCTTTGAAGCATGTAGCCCTTTTCAATGTGCCATGCAAGCAACACTACATGGCAAGATGTGTGCCCACCACCTTTGTTGACATACGTGCGAGCATGACAGCGCTGCAACAAACAAATGCCAACAAGAACCATCAAGAACCATGGAACCCACCCAGAAAACTGCTCTGAAGCCTGCCAGCATTATGATGTTAGTGTGATGTGCGTCAACGTGCCAGCACGACGGCCTGAGAATACGTCCGTGTAACAAGCAGCATATAGAACATGTTGGCGTGTCTCCACGTCCCCATGAAAGCTGTTTAAACGTTTTATACAACAAGCCATCACGACGTCAGGTCAGAATAATTATTGGTGTCACAGCACCTCAACATGTCAGCATTAAAAACAGCAGCACGTCAGCGTGACAGCATGTTTGCAAGTTAGCAAGAAAGAGTGGGAACCTGGTTCGATGTCGACGTGACAGCACACACCATGCAAGCAGGTAGCCTGATGGAACGACAACATGTCAGTAGGACACCGTGCCAGCATGATTCCATTTCAGCACTACGCCATGACAATCTCATCGTAGAATCTTGCAGCACTGCTGCGCAACTCAGTCCGGAACTCCGCAACTTGCCCGGGAACTTTGCACCAGACGCCGGTACTTGCTTCGAGACCTGCTCTGACCTCCTCGAAGTTTTGACTATGGCCGAAGACCCCTAAGCTTCATTCTTGACGCACTTTTTTCTCATCCGTGCAGGAACGCCACTGGAGACTCTCTTCAGACATCTCGGAACTGATTCTGCCCAATTCCCAATCAGTCAGATGTGTGCGGCGCGATCAGTTCCCTACCTCGAGGTTGCTGAGCTGGATGTGCGGGCAATTCTGTCCGATGCTGGACAGTGGTGTCAGTTCAGCTTTGCCTGGATATTGCTGACCAACCAGCAACTTTGGAGATGAGCATTGAGGTCAAGATACTCGCCTTTGAGTGCACCCCAGTGGGCAAACTTGCACGCTCCCCATTTGTGATTGCTGCTGCGTTTGCCTTTTCCAATTGCAGCATCAACTATGTCATCTCGGAAGGTGTTAGTTAGTTAGTTAGTTAATTAGTTAGTTTGCTTGTTTGCTTGTTTGTTTGTTTGTTTGCTTGCTTGAGACTCTCCAGGCTTCCGTTGTTGGACAAAAACCCTGATGGAACAGTGCCCGGGTCCCTGACCGCTTTCACATTTTTTGCCTTTTGACATAGCACCTGGTGCCAAGGCCATGGCAATTTGTGTTGAGGTGGGCCGGTTTAGATTGCCAGCAAGGAGCTAAGGCTTGCAGCATTGGCATGGAGAGTCTTGCACCCCTATGACTCCGTATGACCGCAGAAACAGAAAAGGGCCAAGGATTTCATGGAGTTGGGATGTGGCAAACATGGCAACTCAGGCTGAATGGAGCTGCACCTGCTTCACCGCCCCTCCCTGCCGTGCCTGCAGCGCCAGTACCAGCGCCAGCTGTGCCAGTCTTAGTGGAAGCTCGGGGTGAGTCAGAAGCGTGATGCCTGGCAGTGCAGTTTTTCCACAGTCTCTGGACTGTATGTAGAATGAGGCACCTGCTTTGGCACCACCAGTGCCTCCTCTTGCAAACAGACCAGCTACAGCGCCATCTCTTCCTGTGTGAATCTTGGGGTACGTCAGTTGTTGCAGTGGAATCGATCCAGCTATTCCAAGGTCGGACCCACTTCGTCATTGTCTCCCCCGGCACCTCCACCACGGTCACCTCCAGTGCCAACTGTTCCTACAGTCTCCACTTCAAGACCATCAGTTCCAGTCTCTATCTCAACTGTCTTTGTTTCATTGGTCTATGAATTATACAAGAATATATACACTTGGCTAGGCCTTACTTACCTCACCACCACCACCTGGACCTAGCGGGATTCCCCTCGCTCCAGTCTCTGCCGTCCTCTTCTCAGCGCACACAGCGATTTGTGCTGGGGGTAGTTTGGTTGAAGACCGAGCGCGAGCCCCTGACTTCGCAGGGACCTCCGCCACTGCCCCCTACGTTTGACTCTCAGCACAAAACGGCACAACATTGCTGCACAGCGAACTTTTGTGTCAGAACCAGCATTGCAACAGGGATAATGCATTGAGCACATGACAGGGTTGAACGCATGCCAAAACACTTGAACTTTTGAACATAGACCGTGATATGCAAGCTTTTTGCCTTGTGGAGCTGGAAGTTGTGGTAATGGTAGCTGGAGCATCAGACGAACAACCATGTAACACTGCATCGTTCCAACCAAGCAAGCGGCAAGGATTTTGAGGATGAAAACGTGCAAAAATCCCACTTCAAAACTCGTCTAAGACCCAAAGGCTCTTCAAGATTTCAGACTCTTTAAGGCACATGCCCGGCCCACCGCCTCCACCTACGCCCCTCGCACCTGTGCGGCCACCCAGCTACAAACTACAAGACATGCAGCTGTCAGAAGTTTGCACCAGGCGTCCTGCCTGGGAAGGGGGCTAGAGCCTCAGGGCCTTAGCAACGGCTGAATCCTCACCCGATTGTACAATTTTGCTTAGGCCGTTTCCTCCTTCAGTTTCGGTACCATTCTTATTTCCAATGCTCCAATAAATTATGGTGGTATCCTTCATACATCAATTAAGGCCTGGGGAAGAAGCTAATCTCGAATTATTTGACCACAAATATACTCTAAATATTATCCAACAAAATGTATATATTTCCTTTATTTTCTATTTGTCTTTAACACATTATTACTCATTATATTACGATAAGGCCTACCAACAGGCGCGCGCGCAATTTGGCCAAGCTAAAGTCCCAAACATCTGACAAGATTTTGGTATTTTCAGCGAAGACATCTTTCCTTTTGGCGGCTGTTAGCGGAAAGGACCCGAAATAATTGGATTATGTTGGAAGTTTTAAATTTTTGACGTCCAAAAAAAGTTCATTATTGTGGAATAATTTTCTCGGCGCCCAGGTCGAAGTAATTGGATTATTTTGAAATTTTCGTTTTGCTCTCCCCACTGCTGTACCACTAGGCAAAAGCATGACGCTTGTTCGACTTCTCCCAGGTCGATGGAAACATGAGTATGTAGCTGGTGATTTTGAGGTATGACACAACACTGCAGAGACTCAATACGCAGGTCAATCCACAACAGATTCTACCAAGCAGTTTCAACCATACACAAAATCATGTATTGATATCCAATGTCCACTCAGCTTTTCGTATCTAATGTCCAATCCACAATTAAATTTTCAATTTAACCGATAAAATCCGGTTCGCCCGATGATTGGTTTCTAAAACCAGGTTTGCTAATCCAGTCTTGAGCTTGGGTGATGCCAGTAGCCGTTTCACCTCAGGTCAGATTCCAATAATATTGTTCATATTTTAAGTTTACTCACATGTTTGCCCAAGTGTGCCTGTAGTTGTAGTCATCTTGTGATGTCATGCACTAACTTGCGCGGAGTTGTCTTTGTCTAAGAGACCAAGTGTTTCTGTCCACTGCCCACCACCTGGCGACCTGGCTGGGGCCGATCGCTATGTGCAGAGAGCTCACCAGGAGGGAGGCCGGGAGCGATTGTATTCCTGCCTGCTGGAAGAGTTCTGGCAAGAACGGCTGTGAAGCAGTCCATATGGCCTCGACACCTTTGATGCTTGGGCTAAAGCCCCTCAAAGCCAATATGATCCGATCTGTGCATGTTATTTGAGATGCGAGATCCGAGATTCGAGATCTGAGATTCGGGATTTGAGATCCGAGATCTGAGATTCGCGATCCGAGATCCGAGATTGGAGATGCGAGATTCGAGATTCGTGTTTTGAGATCCGAGATCTGAGATTCGAGATGCGGCGAGATCCGAGATTCGAGATCCGAGATCCGAGATTCGAAATGCGAGATCCGAAATTCGCGATCCGAGATCCGAGATGCAAATCGAGATTCGAGATTTGAAATGCAAAATTTGAGATTGGAGATGCCAGAGCCGAAATTTTCGATATATGTCTGAAGATGAATTTGAGGACGATTTTGGATACAATAAAAATATCTAAAATATTGATTAATATATTGTTTTTTTTCACAATGGAAACAATCATATTTTGGTTATTTAATGAAAAATATATCGGGAAAATAAAAAAAATATATTTGGAAATACTACTCTATTTTTTTATGGAAATAGATATATATTTATATTTGTGATGTATATTTTTGAAATATTTATTGTAATATATTTAAGAAAATCTATTAATATAAAATAGATTTTTATGGATGAAATATAATTTTGAATGAAATACATTTATTTTCGATATATTAATCATATATAAATTTAAGAAATATAAAGGATATTTTTATACATTTTTTTATTATTAATTATATACATTTAATTTTTTTGCGATTATATTATTGATATTTTTATTAATTGGATAATATTAAATTAATGTATAAATATATAGATTTTTTAGATAATATAATACGGCATATAATAAGGCAATTATGTATTAAATATATGGTTAATGGTTAATATCAATAATTAATATATTTTGGAAATATATTTATATATAGGTTTATAATGGAATACAATTTTAAGGCGTTAGGATTTTATAGGTGTTTTGAAAGGAGGAATAAAAATCGTCGAATAGAGGAATGATATCGAGGATAATTTAGTGTTACGATGAATTTATTTGTTCGATAAGGATTTCTAATGAATAATGGATTGTATTTCCGAATGATTCATTGATATTTGGATGGGAACGGTGGAATATATATTTTTTTTATTTTTTGTTTATCTTTATTATTATTAATCGGAATTTGTTCGATAATGATCATAATATTATAGTAATTATTAATATATTATTTTCTATAATTATTGAAATAATTGTATGATTTTTATGGACATTATTATAAATAAACCGACATTAAATATTAATTAAATAGATTCTTTATTATAACAAAAAATTATTGATCATTTTAATATTTCTTTCTATTTGAACGACCTATTAATTCCATAAATATATATAGAAATATTGGTAGAAATTTACTTATATTTGTTAAATTTGGTTTAATCGTTATATCGGGTTTTGTTTTATTATTATCTTGGTCCTATTTAAATTATAAATTGTAAATTTTTTATTCTTCTTATTATTGGAAATAACGGGTCATTTCTAATATAATATTATTATATATTAAAAAAATATATGGATGATAATTGTCTTGATTTTATAATTATGAAGGTCGAAGATAATTTGATTTTTAATCGTATTAATAATACAGAATATATTTATAGATGCATTTAAAATCCCATAATATTATTTATTTGCATTTTTTTTTTTTTTTTTAAACCATTAATCATATTAGGTCTCTAGGACATTGAACCGTTTCCTTTTGGATGGAGGGTGGGAATTAAAAAATTGCCCAGGTTCAAAAGGTCTATAGTATTCGTTCGACTATTTAAATATCTATAGTTATATTCAGCTGCATTTTTTTCCGTGATTGGCACTTGAAGTCGTCTTCGGGCCACTGATCATATTAGGTCTCTATGGCCAGCGATGTCTAGCCATCTGACCTTCGTCAAATGTAATGGATACCGACATTTCCGCAGTCGTGCAAGTAGCATTGTGCCGCTGACGACGTCCAGCAGCCTGTTCTATTCATCATTTCAATCTCTCCGGTGGCCTGCACCGACCTCGTTTTTCCTCACCCAGCGCTGGGTAATCGGCCTGTACAGTACATCTGCCCTTACGCCGTATCTAGTCTTTCCTCAGCGCTGTAGAGTGATGTAACGTTCTAGGCCAATATCCAGGAGAAGTCAAATGATCGGCATATATAATGCCATTCTCAGTCTAAGAGGGAGAAGCACCTGTTAGAGTAGTGCCGATGCACAAAGAATGCGATTAAGATCGCTTAGCTGGCAATATAAGGACTTGTGCTGCCCTTTGAAAGACATTCTTGATTTCTAGCCTTTAGTTGACCTGCCTTGAAACCCATCTAAAGAGATATAAATAACATTCTGGTCCTCGTCTAAATCATCTCGGTGCCATTGCCTTCAAACGCTCAAGTGCTGTAACGACACAATTATTTTAAATCCTTATCTTCAACGTGTTTTTGCACATTCTAAAAATTTCTTAATCTGCCTTTATCCTCTTAAATTGGATCGTAACCTCTTGAAAATATTTTATCATTTATTGATCGTTTATAATTAGGGTTATACCTCGCCCTCGCAAGATCATTGCCTCGTCATTCTCCGAAATCCCCGAACTTTCCAATTCTTATTATGAAGAATTATCCCGGTCAACAAAATTACTTGAATCATCCGGCAATCACCCTTTAGTTCGCCAAAAATCTCTGCTCCCTTTTCCACGTGGTTTCCGATCTCTTTTAATATCGGGATTGCCACGCCGAGGTGACGAAATTTCTTTATTAAATCCTTCTCTAGGGATTCGATCGCCTGCCTCCGCTCTTGCGATCGGGTGCGTCGATCTCCGCCAACATCTAAAGAGCTTCTAGCCATAGGACTTCTCCCCAAAATCAAAAATCTGCGACTTCTTGAGGTTGTACCCATTGATTTTTTTATAGGGTTTCTTTTCCATTTCCTCAACCAACACAACAATGCCCCCATGGATTTCTTATCTTCGCGATCATAACACATAGCCACCTTCCCTGGGTCATAGGCTCCCGCGAGCTCCGCCAGAACTCCTAACAACCTCAAAGCGATGCATCTCCCAATTGCTCTGCATGCCTCCTTCATAGTCTCGATCGGGTCCATGTCTTGTAGAAATTTTGGTTATTCTCTCGCGATTCGACCTTGTGCCATCCAGAATTCATCGCCTGTCAACTTCCGGACTGTACCGACGGGGGTTGATTTGTTTAAGACATAGATGCCCTGCACGTTTTTTCCGAAAGCACTTGCAAAGGGGTTTCTACCAAAGGACATCTATTCAGATCATTTTCCAATATAATCTTTCTTATCATCGCTATTATCATATCATCATCATCATCGTCGTCATTATTATCATCATCATCATCATCATCATACATCAAACATCATGACGTAACATATGGGTTTTGCAGATGTGGGTTTTGCAGAGATAGATTTTAAAGATGTGGGCTTTGTAAGTGTAGCGATATAGGGGTAAATAAATAAATAAATATATATACATATTGATTATAGGAATTGAAAAAAGATGATTAAACGCATCTACTAAATCTCATCTCCGAAAATTTTTCGAACACTTCGATTCGACTTCTTTTCAAATTTCGTTCTATTCTTAAGGCTGGCGGCAGGTCCGGCCGGAGCTCACGAAACATAATCCTCTGCGAGGATCGTGCGTGTGGAGCGCTCAAACGTATGGTGAAATGTCGATCGCGGTTGATTTGGAGCGACCCTCGGCGGGGATCGTGCGTATCGAGTGCTCAAACGTGTGGTGAAATGCAAATTTGGTTTGTGCATGGGTGATCCTCTGCGAGGATCGCGCGTGTCGAATGCTCAAACGTATGGTGAAATGTCGATCGCGTTTGACCTGGAGCGACCCTCTGCGGGGATCGTGCGTGTCGAATGCTCAATTATGTAATGGAAGACGAATTTGGTTTGTGCGCGAGCAACCTTCTGCGCGGATGGTGCGTGTCGACGCGTGACTTTGGAGGAAATTTGGTGCGCAACACTCATTTAGGAGACTTGGAGGACGTCTCGTAAAAAACGTTCGTTTTGGAGACTTGGCACTTCACTTTTGGAGGAATCTTGCGAAATGCTAGTTTTGGAGATTCGGCGCTTCGCTTTTGGAAGAATT